GGGGGGGAAACTGCAGCTGTCAGCCCCTCGGTGCACCTGAGCCCACGGCTCCGTTGCCCACCCCACTGCCGACAGCACCTGGGTGCTGGGTCCCCAGGGAGCCCCAGTGCTCACCCACCTCCCTGCTGATGCCTTTTTCCCGTGATTGAGGGGCAAATCCAGCACCCCCCCGCACCCTCCCCAGCACCTCTGGGTAAGGGGAGATCCTGCAGTCATCCCTAAAATCGCATCTGTGGTGGGGAGCAGCATCCTCCGCCCCGAAATCCCCATGGAAACTGTACCCACAGATGCAAAAACCCATTGCGCCGGCTCAGCACAATGTTCCCCCCTGTGTTTTGTTCCTGCTGGGATTTGGAGTGACCTCCCCAAAAAATCCAAAAGAACTGGTTTGGGTCTCCCAAGGGAGATAAAATCCTCTTAGGGATGGGGAGAGGTTGGGGGTCAGGGTGCAGGTGGCAGCGGGAGAGCAGTTGGTGTGAGCTCAAGGCTGCTCCCAACACCCGTTTCCACTAGGGATGCTCTCAGCACACGGCTCCGCTCCGAGGAATCTCCTCCCCAAACCAAGGGGATGGAGCGGGAGGGATGCAGGTGGGCTCTCGGCATGCAGAGATGAGGGCTGAGCCGTGCGGGGGCTTTTACACCCCGTTACATCTCAGCAAGGTGACTTGTGACCACCGGCCATGCTTGTCCCCAGTATAGTGGCCGACCTGGAATCAAGCACGTCAGGTGATGGCATTAAGCTCCTCAGGTCCCCCCCGTGTCACCTCGTGTCCGGGACAGCAGCAGAACCACGATCTGTGAGAGGATGGATGGGGATGGGAGCCTCTTCCCAGCCCCGCAAGGAGCCTGGCGGCAGGGTTTGCCTTCAGTAAACTGGCTGAAAAAGTAATTCATTGGCAAATGAAAAATATTTCAAAGAAAGCTGCTTCCCTGCAGGAACGGGTTGGCACTTCCTCACGCTGCCGCCCGGCTCCTTGACAAAATGATGTCCCGGAAAAACAAGATGAGAAGGGGGTGTCGCGTCTGGCCGCGGAGTCCTGAGGTAGGTGCCAGGTCGTGCCCGGCTCTGCGGTTCCTGAGCTGGTTGGTTGCCACGGGATCGGGTCTTGCTCACAGCCGGGGCTTGATCTGCAGCTGTTTGCCTGGAGGGAGGGAAGGAAAAGGTGATGGTGGGAGGGGGGTGGCACATCTGGACACCCCTGGGCTTCTCCTGGCCCGGTTGAGGTGGGGGAACACAGGACCCTGGCAGCACCCACCAACCTCACCTCGGCCACCCTCCTCCAGACGGGTGTTGTCAGAGTCCCGCGAGGATGCCGGGGGCAAAGTTCTCTTCCATTTGGTGCTGCCTGGGAGCAGAAAGGAAGAAAAGAGGAGAAAGTCATCGAGGTTGGCTTGGAAATCCCTCAGGATGAAGGTGCAGGAGCATCCTGAGCTCCTCCGCTGCCCCCGTGGCCCCGGCGCTTTGTGCTTTAAAAGGGAGTAAAAGCTGCCCCAGAGGTGCTGCCAACGAGAAGGAATAATTAGTGAGCAAATGGTGAAAAATAAACGAGCCCACCTTAGTTACATGTGGTGCCTCTCATCCTGAAATGATGATTGCGGTTGCCCCACCCCTCTGCCATTCTGCTGGAGGGGACACGTGTGTCCCCAACGTGGTGCTCAGCCTGGCCTTGCTGTCCCGTGGCTTTTTCCGCAGCCTTTTGGTGCAGAGTTGGTCCCTTTGGGGTGGGAACGTGTCAAGCCTGGAACCACCGTCCCCCTCGGCCATGGCTGGTTGCCCAAATCCCTGAGCATCCCCAATCCCCCGCAAGCAGCACAGAACGGAGGCACTCGCAGGTCCCCTCCCACCGCAGAGCGGCAAGTCTGCTGCAAAATCCCCGAGTTATGGGGGAAAAAAGAAAATAAAAAGTAGCCAAATCTTCTAACTGCAGCAAAAATTGAGCATCACGACCCGCTCCGGGGCCGGGCTGGAGAAGGGAAGAGCAGAGCACCATGCTCAGTGCTCTGGACCATGACAATGGAGAGGTTTGGGGACCAAACCTTTCAGCCACCCCCAGCATCCCCCCAAGATGCTTTGGGTGATGAGTTCTGCTTGCTGGAACACTGTCCCCCCTCCTCGAGAAGGTCCCAGATGCTCATATAAAGCCAAAAATCCATGAAGCACCTTTGGGAATTCACCGCTTTGCAGGATGAGTCCAGGCACATCCCATGGACCGGAGTGGAGGGCGTGAAGTCCTCCTCCATTTCAACCTGAACGCCGGACACAGCTTTCTGCAGTTTCTCCTATTTTCCCTCCCTGAAGGATGTGTAGAGGTGGTTCTGGGGTTCTACCTGCCAGGCTGGTGGGTGGCGGGCAGGAGAGCAGCGGCCACGTGGGCAAGAAGACGCCGAGATGAATGAGGTTGGAAAAAGGAGGAGGTTTCCCAGAAAAAAAAAGCACCTACAGCTTGCTGAGGGATCAGGTTTCGTGGGAAAAGCCTCCTCTTGCTTGGGATTACGGGAGAAGGTTGTGGAGAAGATGGAGGGAATCCAGCTCAAACCCCCTCCAGATGCACCGTGGGCCCGTGGTACTGCAAAAACCCAGCGCCGGCGCTCTGCATCCCCACAGGACGATGCCCAACGTGGAGGAGGGACCAGGGGCGCCTTTGTGCAGCCGTGAAAGCCCGAAGAAGAAGGTTTTGGGGCAGGGGAGGCGGGAGGGGTGAGGATCCCACGCAGCATCCAACAACGGAGAGTCACCAAGAGTTTTTCTTTGCTTTTAAACTTGGGTAAACAAACTTGCTCGGAGTCTAAGCCGTCGTGGCAGTGATACATAGCTTTTGAGCTAATTTATGTAAAATAAAGAGGGCTCATTTAGCACCTTTCCACCCTTAATATAACACCCATACATCAGAGGGCTGCACAGCAGCCACGAGGGACTCAGCTATTAGTCACTGGCAACTCAGCCAAATTCGGCTTCGGGGCACGGCGACACCGAGCAGACCCCGCTCGGCCTCTGACCACCCTCCTCATTTCCCAGCTGACCCCAGGTATCCCTTTCGCATCGAGCCAGGTGCTTTCCCCAGCCTGGGATTTCCAAATCTTGCCCCATTAGGGTCCCGCAGAGCTGCTGCTCATCAAGCCCAAAGGATCCAAATCAACATCTCCTGGTTCCTGCCCCACCAGCAACCGCGGCCACAGTGCAACGGGAACGATGGAAACGGCTCAACTCCCCCTGGATGAGCTGGAAAAGACTTCATTAGCTAATATCCACGCAGTGGCACGAAACCCGTGCTTTGCCATTCAAAGTAAATATGATTACAGAAGTAGAAATATAGATTTCTATTTTTTTGGGGGGGGAGATAAAAAAACGAGGTGATTTTTAAATCAACCGCAATTAGCTTCCAGACTTTGGGGCTGTACAGAGCTGAGATGCCTTCCATCCCTGATTTCAAACGTATTCCTCAAAAAATCGAGGAGGGCGATAAGGAAATAAACCCAAAATAGGGGGTAAAAGGACTAAACCAGTCCAGTTTCTCACCCTGGATGGAGGGAGGAGATGCTGCTCCTGGAGCAGTGGATGCTTCACCCCGCCGGGAGCAGACAGGGACGGGCAAACACCCCGTTGTGACAGCTGGGGGTGGGGACGTGGAGAAAACAGGGGTGTCACTTCACCCACTCCAGCAAACGAAAATATATTTTCCGCTTTTGTGCATGGGAGATCCTGCAAATGGCGTGATCAATCTTGGGTCGCATCGCGCGCCTTCACTCTCTCCCCCCTCCCTCTTCCTTCTCTGCATTTCGGCAGCCACACAATCCATCTTCCAGGAACCAGGTATATAATTTCTAGTTAGCGAAAGCCGGGCTAAGAAACCCCTTTTTCATTACGATGATTGAACTGCTTCCAAAGAGAAGAAACCGGGGCTGGATCACGAGCTCTCCATCGAAAGCCGGGCGGCTTTTGCTGAGCTTGTCAGCCTCGCTGGAGAATTAGGACTTCCAGCGCTCTTCCTCCTGATGAAAATCAACATTTATTTTGCCTAAGCCTAAGAAAGTGTCAGGCAGACAGAGAAACTTGCCACTCTTCACGAGGAGAAGGAAGGGAAAAGAAGGAAATCTAATAGAAATATATTATCAAGTCCGAGGAGTGGACAGTGCAGTAAATCACGCTTCAGGTGGCACCATTATATTTTTCAATAAAACCTGGCCTTCCCCCAGACGGTGCCGAGCCGAGCGGCTCCAGCTGCACCCGACGGGAGAGTTAAAACAAAATTTCGTTCATCCAGATTCTGCTACAGGGGGGATTTAAAGGAATTTAAAGGTGGGGAATCCTCTCGGATGGAGGATAAAAGGAGGCGGGTCTGGTCCTTGTCCCCAAATCTTCTCCCTGCTCACCGCTCCTGATGGCTGAGGGTTTAAAAAATTGCGTTTCTTGCCCTGCTGCGAAGCTGGGAGGCAGGTGCCGAGAGGGAAAGTGACTGGTGATGCTCCAAATCACCATGAAAGACCCCCAAGCCCCAAAGCCAGGGGATGCAGGGGAAGGCGGCTCGCTCACCGCTTTCCAAACTCCACCATCCGGCTATAAAAAGCTCTGTCGGAGGGAAAGCTGGTTATATTGATGCTTTCCCTTCCCGACCAACCTCCAGCCTGATGGGATTTTTGGTCTCCATTGCTCTCCTGATGTTGCCAAGGGGGTTTTTGTCCTCTCCTGCATCCAGCCGGGCTCCAGTAAGGGGCTTTGCATGGGGCATGGTACCCACAGCCGCCCCGCTCCTCCCCGAGAGCTGACCCAGTGTGAAACGGCCTCAAATAAAAAACATAATCCCATTCCCAAAGGAGAGCGGGCTAACGAGGTGGCTGCAATTAGCCGTTTTAACAGCCAGACAGCTAACACTCCAGTTATTAATACAGCAAAGGGGGATGCAAAAGTTTCCACCCGACAGCGCGGAGCACTGAGACGCATCCCAGCATCTTCCTGCTGGATGCTCAAGGTTTAACACTGTGAGGAGAAATTTCCACACACACACTTTTTATCCCCAATTCCCAAAGGAAAAAAGATCCCTTAACCCCTTCCCAGCTGCTTCAGGGGAGCCTGGAGGCTGAATCTGCCTTGGAAACAGCTTTTCCTTTTGCAGTGAAAGCGCTTGGCTGCACTTAGGCTGGGAGTTTGCTTTTTTTAAATAAATTAAAATAATTATTATTATTTAATAAAGCCCAAGAACAAAAGGTGAGATGGAAAGGCCGGTGGCAAGGGTTAAGCCCCCGACTTTTCCACAAATGATTTTTCATACAGAAAAAGCAGCTGCGGGGCGCTAAACCTACCTGCTGAAACAACCTGCACCGAAACCACCTCCTGCTCCTGTTCTACCCCGACCTTCTGCCCCTCAAGTGAGGGAAACCTCAAAGCTGGGATGTCGTGAGAAGCTTTGTCCAGAGAAAAAAAAAAAAAAAAGCTCAGATGTTTTCTTGCTTCCTAACCAAGATGTTTGAAGCAGGGACATGCTGGGGGAGATGTCCCACTGCAGTGCCCATCTCCTGCCACCCCTGCAGAGCAGGACATCTGTGCCAGGCCATCCTTTCCGTGTATTTTTTTTTCTCCTTAATTCCTGATTTTCAGAGGATAAAAGCAACCAAAAAACCAGCCCTGAGCTGCAGCGATGGGAGAGGGGTACAGCAGAGGCGCTTTGTGGTGTGGTGGTACACCTTGGCCATGACGACATACGGTGAACACCACGTTCAGCCTTTACTGGTGAGCTGAAGCTTATCCTGAAGAAGGTGGGATTTCACCACCTCGGAGGGCTCTTCCATCTCCATTTTTTAGGTTATTAAATAATTCCAGGGGGGAACAACAGGGCTTCCAAGTGGCAGCAAGTTGAACAAGAGGAGTCTTCAGAAATCCTGAGCCAAGTCTAAAAGCCCTGGTCTCCAGACCCTCTGCCACAGGTGGACAAAGACCCTAAAAAATGGGTAAAAAATTAATATGGAAGAAGCAGATTTCAGTTTTGGCAAAGGAGTGAGACTTGGCAGGTCTGAAAGTTGCCTGCAAATCGATCGGGGAAGAGGACTGGAAACGTGCAGGTGGCTCGGTCCAGGCGGTAAGTAAATCAGAGGAGAGTATTTTTGACAGCCCTTTGTTGGGCTAAGAAACGATGATTCTGATTCAAAGCGAGAGCCCAATTAGGAAAACTCGCAGCACTCATCGGCTTTACTGGAAGTTTCAACGAAATTGGCCACTTTGCAATAAGGAAATTAAACAGCAGTGATGTTTCTGACTTTTGGACTTTCCCAAAGCCACCAAGACATGAGGAGATCCAAGCCCAGCCTTCAACAACACCCGAGTCTGACGGTCCCCCAGGCCTGAGGGTGTCCT